CACTGAACCGGAGTCTACGACCAACCAACTAGAAGCAGGCACTACATAAGTCTTGACGACTTGAATAAATCTGAGTACTAACAAAAGCCTACATCCGATGGAATCAAGAAACCCAATGTCAACTGTCACCAAATTAGCAGTTCGGTTAGAAACTTGAATCTACGTCAATAACTAACTAGAAGCAGACACTATAAAGTCTTGACGTCTTGAAGAAATCTAAACACTAAACAGGTGTCTCCATCCGATGAAATCATGAAAACCGATGCTTACAGTCGTCTAGAAGCAAGGTCTAAGTGAGGGGACAAAGTCATGAAGTTATCAGAAAAGGTAATCACCGGTTCTGACTATTCAGAAGAAATGAACTACGGCGCTGAGCCAAGAGGAGGTGAACCAGACAGCACCTACTGCTAAAACATGAAACAAAATCCTAACTGAATATGGTGGTCCAAAGCAAGAGTTATTATTACTACTGCAATAACAAAGTCTTTGAGTGGATTCCAAAAAGAAGCACATGGACGCTTTACAGTGGCCTGTTAGATCTGCAAGCAAAAGTGTAAGGTTATAACAACTGAAGGATCTAATTTTGGAAGCTATCGGAGAAAATGTGCAGGGAACCGTAAGGTATAATCGTCTTTCGAAGCAAATAAGAAGCCATTGAGAGAAAGGAATTCTAAAATATGTAAGTAAGTGGAATATAAGGGTATTGTTCGCATGGCTGAGATTATCAAGTGCATGAAAGAGTCTATGAGCTGAGAGGAAATGTGCGCTCTAAGCTTGTACTGCAAACTGCTGTCTAAAAGCAAGAACTTCTTCCAGACCAACAATTCGTTTTCTTCTTTTACGCTCCCCGTGCGCTCTTGAACAAACGGTGTTTTCCTGAAGTACAATAATGGCCTATTTTTTCTTCAACAATGGAGTGTGTCCCTGCCTTCATGCAGCCAGAAATCTTTTTGGCAGGATTCCATAAGTGTTAACAGGCCAGATTTCTTCTGAGATTTTATTTCGATCTGATCTGCTCATTTCACTTTCAACTGCCAAAAAGTAACAAGCTGTCCTTATCAGCGAAAACTGAGTGCTGTATCCGACAAACTCTTTGATCAGGAAAGCTATTTTAAAACACGTGAGAAAAAAAAGCTCTATAATCCGCTGAAGATATCTGCATGAACCGGTCAGCGAACTACAAGTAGATACCTTGGCATGAAAGAACCTGACCTAACATTGAAACTATTAAGGCTCCTGGGAAAAATTGAACCTTCAAAAAACGAAAAACTCTGGAGTCTTCGGTAACCCCCCCCCCCCCCCCCCCAAGTCAAAAACCAGGGTTAGAGCGAGAACGGCTAACATCTCTACATCCCAAACATCTCAACTGTGGCGGTTTAGAAAAAACAACTACTACTCCAAGAGAACACGTAGCATCACGGATAGGCTATTATTACGTCACAAAAAGAGCGGCCGTTTCAACGGAACAAAATAAATAGATAGCCAATAGTAGTGCATGGGGGAAGTTATTTCTTGGTATTGGAGAAATACATCTACATGTGACTTTGCCCTCGTATTCATTAATATTGACAATATTTTCTACGCCACGAGTCAAAAGCAGTTGAAAACAGAAGCTATGCAGAAAGTTGGAAATCAGAACATGAAATCCGGACTGATAGAAAATCAGGATTTCAAAAGGCGCCTGAATATGGTGGAAAAGTAAACGCCCTATTCACCTACTGGTTAGGTAAAGCATTTTGTCAAAAGAGAAAAAAGAAATGAAAGCCAGTTGAGAACAGTTCAACCATGCAAAAGTAAAACAGTACAGCACGTACAGAAGCTGTATACTTTCTGGGCAACAGAACTCATCAAAAAGCTAACACGTCAAAGGAAAGAGAAGAGCGAACAAAACGTTTAGGAAAACCATAGACGTGTATTATAATATCCCAAACCGTACACTTTTTTTTTTGGTAAGCGTTTTACGGTGCTCGCAACTGCATACGGTCATATGACCGCGCGGGACACATTGAACTTTTTTAGTATGTAGGAATTTATTTTATTTTTTTGCCCGGGTGGCGGCTGAAGCCTACTCTTATCGATTTTAGACCACCAAGGGATCTACTTGCACACGGGCCCTCCGAGAAGGCTAGGTGTTCCTACCTGAAGATCAGGGGTGTGGCTGAAAGTAGGGAAAGACAGCAGTAAGAAGGAGCCAAGGAGCAGCAGTAGAAAGGCTGCAGAAAGAGTCAGGATCCCAGAGGAGGGGGCAAAGGAGGTGAGGGGGTTGGGGTAGAAGGTGGAAACGAAAGCACACAACAGAACATTGCAAGAGAGAAGGAAAGGAGATGAAAGGAGACAATTTAAGAGAAGAAAATGATTCGGTCGCTACCCGGATTCGAACCCGAGACCTTTGAATGAGAGGCCAACACCTTAACCTCTAGGCCACGAGAGCTTCCACGGTAAACTTTGACGTAATTCCGGTTCCAACGTCGAGCAACATTTGACCCAATTAAATGCCCCC